CCCCATAGGTTCATTATTAATTGGTAAAACTGTGTAACATTAATAATATGGTATCACCGTTAAATTCAATATAAGCCCAACATCAATAAGATTTTCTTTTGGGTGATGTGCTGTCAAGGATAATACCACGGTATCAAAAAAAAAATAGTATTAATTAATTAAAAATAAAATAATTTATTTTTAATTTTTTATGCAAGAGAAATATAGAAGAAGCATATGTTATTGTTGTCGAAAAAGAAGTTTTAACTTTTACTTTTTTATTTTAGAGTATCAACGATGGCTTAATGACTCCACAGCCTGCTGTTGGACCATTAGGCCGCGAGTTCAATGCTCACCAGTCTTTTTTCAAGTAAAAGGTTTTTTTTAAAGAGTTTAATTTTAATTTTTATATTTTTTATTTTACTTTTTTTTCACCAAAGAGGGAGAATAAGTTGGGCTAAATATGAATTGACTTTTGAATATTTTTTTTAACTTCTAATTTTTAGATTTTTCATGTTATGAATTAGATTATGGACCCATATTATTACAATAAAATTTTGATTGGACTTAAATTTTTTAGACTTTTTTTTACAGTTTAAAACTTAATGAATTTATTAAATTCCCTTTTTTTCATATTTTTTGGTTAGGTTTAAAATGTAGTTTAATCAATTATGTCATCACAATACAAAATCTGTTGATTATTTTATTAAGGAAAGGGGGTTTTCAGATTTACCCTAAGATGAATGGGAATCCGGTATTTCACTAAAAGTTTTGGAAATTTTGGTTTTTTTACCCTTTATTAAACGTAGTACAGACACTTGTCCCCCCTGAATTGGGAGAATGGTTTGACTTTATCCCTTTATTATTAGATTTCTCACATCATCCCCCGAATAATGCTAATTATTTACAAATTGTCCCTTTAATTATGTTAAGTTGTTAACTGATGTCGCATCTTCTCAAAATCGAATAATTATTACAATTTAGATGAGAAATATATACTGACAATTGGATTTGCAATAATGTTAATTGAGGGGGGTCATGTTCAGGTGTGTTGTCATTTTTGTTAATAAATCTTTCGATTTTGGAAAATGTGACATATTAGTTATATGAGAGGAGTAAAGTGATAATATGGAAAATAGGAAATGGTAAAATGACATCAAAGCCATAATTTAGGGTTCAAAGTGTAATTAGCCCTTCTGAAAAATCCACAAGATATTTGTATTAATATTATACTCTAAGACCAATTATATAAATGATATTTTGGGGTTGTACTAACATCATTCATTACTTACTTAAATAAAAGGGCAAGTTTATTTATCATATTTCTGTTTTATTTCATTTTAATATACATGATATAGTCCATATAGTATAAGTTAAGAAGATAGATTCTCAAAGATTTAAGAAGATGAGACATTACTTCGTAGTATTTAACTCTTTAATGTTCTTAGTCATAGGATTACTATGTGGGCACTATGTAATCTGGATAGACTAGTATACATTATGTTTATTCATATTTGATATGAGGTGATTCGTCTAAGTCATTAGTGTAGAAACACTGAAGCAAGTGTATGGGTGTTTGTTAGAGAATAAGTACACTGAACGTGACCATTGACTAACGTAAGATTTTTTATATGGAGTTTTACACGTCTGTCAATATTAAATCCTAAAGCTATAGTTATGCAATTGATTCTTAGACTTGAAACACCATAGTTATCTTGTGTACGAACTTCTATGCTTTAACTATACAACATATTCATATGCTAACCATGTAACTTGGTTATGTCTTGTTGGATATAATTAGACATGCATGAAAGTTATGAGTGCACAACATGAAATCTATCACCCTTAGTAAATAAAGGAAGAATGTCCAATGTGATCTTTTAGGATATGACTCAAAGATTCCTTGGGCAAAACAGAATAACAATAAGAAAAGAGTTTCTAATTGATCATTAATAATGATTATCCTAAGATCGAACACAAAAGATTGAATTAGGGGTTTGACAGTAATTTATACCCTAGTAATTCATTTAGGGCATTGTGTGATAGAAAAATTAAATTGCATAGCAACTATGAACTGAATGGGTTCTTTACCTACTTCGTGTTATCCGGAAGTTGATCACGATATGCTGCTAGGTGTCACTCATGATTTGTAGAAGCTCAAAGAATAAAATTAATATAAATATATTAATTATTTTTCATAAAGGAAGAATTCGAAGAGTTTTAATTCAAGGTAAATTAGAAAGAGTTCTAATTTGAGATGTTACTTGTAGTTAGTATCGAATGCTTATAACCGGGCATGCTTAAACCTATAGGGTGATACACAATAGAATTGATCGAAAATTAAAGGATAAATGAGATAAAACTAATTAAGAGTTAATTAGGGTAGATTAGAGTCTTTAAAACTGTATAAATACCTTTATGTAAGAGGTGGATATATGATATAACAACTCTCTTGTTAGTATAAGAAGAACCACCCCTCACTCATTGTCTCTCTCTACTAGTTTATCAATTTGTGTGGATACTGATAGAGGCCAAACAATTGCGAGGCTTGAGGTAAAGATCAAATTCAGATTTAAAGGTTCAAAATTGTTTGAGAAAGCTTGAAGATCGTTCAAAGCATGCTTCAAAAGGTAACCCTTAATTTTCACTATAGATATGAAGTTTCTCGATTTGTATTAAATATAAATAGATTTTGGAATGGGAATCAAAATTTTAAATTATGCTACATTCTTTACATGATTTCTTTCAATTTGTGCATTTTATTCTAATCAAATTAGGGTGAGACCATTCCTACCCTTTAAATATCTTTCTCCACCACATTTAACTCTCTAATTTTAAATTACTAATCCCACCTCTTTTATACCAACTCCAATAGTTACTAAGTTTACCCTATTTATACATAAACCATTAATCAAAAATCAAACCGTTTGTAAAAAATTCCTAGTATTCAGTGATGTACAAACATAATATTATACATAAAAAATATTTGTAATAAATATCAAACAAAACATAAAATATAGGAATACAAAACTATTATTTAGCATGCAGATTAAAACCCTAAAATACAATACATGTACATGAAGCAACCAATTTAAAAACTCATTGTAATTTCCTTTACAACTACATCAATCCATTTTGTATTTGACTAAACAAGTTATCCATCTACTCCAAAATATCTAGTGCGAGCAAAATTATATCATCCGTATAATGTCTCTACCTAAAATGCAATTGATGATATTTACATACCATTTTTTTTTTTTGAACATTATTTACATACCATTGAAAAGTATAATAACATAAATAAAAATAAAGGGAGAAAAGTAATACAGCTAAAAATATGATTGGAAAATACAAATGTGCATGAAATGAGATAGAAAGAGGAAAACTTGAGAGAAGAAGACATGGTTTATTCTTAGAATGTATAATGAATGAGGGGAAAACGGGTGAGTTTAGTTATAAATGAATGAGCATAAATGGGGATGACCTTAGTGACTAATAAGGTGTGTATTGATAATGTGAACTTAGGATTTGTTTGGTATGTAGTTTTGGATTGCATAAAATGGTTAGATTCTGACAAAGAGTCAAATCCAAATGTTTGAGGCCTATAACTTTGAGCCTATATCCATCTTTGTCTAACTTCAACGGTTATAACAAACCCATATATGCGAGCCTCGTGAAACCTTGGGGGTTGAAGAGTGGGCAAGTCGAATTTGTATGCACCAAAAAAAAAAAATCACTTTATCCCCGACATGGGTATGGATTGGGTTCAATAGTAAACAATTTAGTTCATTTCATGGTAAATATTTAGTGATATTTGTGATTAATATGCAAAGTCCACGTGTATTTACACTACTTGTCAAATATGAGATTGAATAGGATACATAACTAAAAAAGGAAAGCAAGAATCCTCCATTAGATGTATAGGTTACAAAGAACGCTGTCATAGGATGGGGACAACAAACGATTGTAATATTGTTTACATCATCTTATCATTTGTTCAACCCTGATAAACCTGAAAGAGCAAATTTCAATTTCATGTACAAAACCTTAAAATTGGGTTTGAAAGGATTTTATAAATGAAATCCAATTCATCCCATCAAAACCATCCTGACAGTCATTTTAATTATAACTTTTTTTTTTGGTCAAACATTTTATTAGATTGAAATTAGAGACTTAAATACAACGGAAAGTATATTTATTGAGGGGGTATTGTGAGGCTTGTTTCAACTGACTCAATTCCCACGTAAGCAAGAAGATGGGTTAATTTTATGGGTGTCAATTTTTGATACGACACCAATTAACACAAAATTAAATAGGTCAATAAATAAAAACGAGTCAACACACTTAAAGACAAAAAAAAAAATCATGTCGAATTTAGGTAAATCTGATTTTGACCTAATTAACCCGTATATTTTAAATGAGTTTATATGATTTGGACACGAACCCGACCTAACTCATTGTAAACCCGTTTATTATAGTATAATTTGTGTATTATGTATGATTGATGTGGTCTTAACATTATTAGTTATTAGTTATTTCATCTCCTATGACAATTAACAGTATAGTTTTTAATATTATTATGACATTATAATAGTATAATTCTTGCTTTAATTTTTGGATTGAATCTTAAATGTATTTTAGTTAATTTCATTGATGAGATGTGATATGTTACTGGTGAAAAAATTATTTAAAATTTTGGATGAATGGTGTCATTAATAGTAATAAACAAACGTGGAAACAGGTTATGTGTGTGTTAAACAGGTTAAACGGGTCATGTCATGTGATAACTCAAAAATGACCTATTTATTAAACACGTCAAGTAGGTCGGGTTCATATAACATGTTTAATATACATATCAAATTAGTATTTACGCATCTCAATACGATTATTAAATTGATCAAATTCGTGTTTTAAAATTTTCGATACAAATTTAAAATTAATTCATCACAAAATAACCTAAACTGAGAAATTTGATACGCTGGTTACTCTAGCCTCTCCCTCTCTTACTTTTGTTTGAAGAGGTTTCTCTCTCTTACATGGGAAGTTGGGAACTACTCTCCCTCTCTCTCTCTCTCTAGCAATAGAGAGCGCCAACCATTGCAGATAAGCCAGCCCATCAAACGTGACACGTGTCGAGCACAGATGTCATTGTGAATTTCTCCCAGGATTTTCCTTCTTTCCTCAGAGAACAAAAAAAGATACAACAATCTGAACACTTTCTCTCACTACCTAACCGTTAAAACATCCTTACAATTCAGAGAGAGAGAGAGAGAACGATAATTTTAGAGATACAAACGATAGAGAATGGCAACTGCTTCTTTGGGTTCTTCAACTCTTCTTCAGTCGCAGATAAGTGGGTTTGGTGGGGGCCTTAAGCTTCAAAAGCCTTCTATCTCTAACACCAATTCTCTCACCTCTACAAGGTATTGCTATATTACTCCTTCTCAGAGCTTGATATGGTTATTCCATGAAGCATGCATCTGTTTTGCCCTAAATTGCGCAATGATTTTACTGATGTTTTATGATCCATAATAGTCGTGATTCGTGTAAATGAAAGTAACTTGTTCTGGGGAGTGATGGGTTTGTTCTTTTTTGTTATATCTCATGAAAGCTAGGTTGTCTTAATTGAGAAAAGGTGATTCGATGACCAAATTATTTGATTTATTCTGTTTGAATTGCAATTTTTTGTGCTTGGGGAATTTTAAGAAGTATGAATGCATCAATTGCACTATTTGGAAATCTTTTAAAGTATTGTTGTACCTCTATTTGGAATTTGTTCATATCATGTTCGTCAGTATGCTTAGCCGACATTAGTTTAATGACTATAACATGGTTTTCGGAAAGAGCCATACCAAAAAAATGTATTTTCATGATAAGTAAATTATTTTAAAAAGCATAATTATCGGCTCCATTGTATTTTCATTATACGTGTCTTGTAGCATCAGACAATGTATTTGAATCCAAATAGTTGTGACAATTTAGTCTTACATTGGGTCATTCATTCCTCCTCAGCATATATTCTGTTGGATAAGATCCAGTGATTACTATGGGCTTTTTTGTGGAAGGCAAATTCGACTTGGTTTGCCAACTGTCGTGCCTGATGTTACCTGATAAATAATTCAGTCACTTCATTGCTAAAATGTCCAAAAAATGATTTACTTGTGTGCAAAGCTTTAATTTTCCAAGTAGTTTTTGGCAAAGAAACTACATCCAGTTGATGATCTAAGAACTCCATGTTCATCGTTGGGTTAAGTCATGTTTCCATTTTATTGCTAGAAAGAAATAAGAGGTTTCTATGAACTCCCATATGTTTCCTTGTTAATCTTTTGTCTTTGTTTTAATGAAAACTATGTGGTTGTTTATCTTCTCCTATACGTCCTGCCATTTGGATATAATGGTCCATCATATTGTGTGAAAGTAAATTCGTAAAGCCTTGTTCTACTACTCCAGAAGTTTTGCCAGCGTTATTGGTTATTGTAAGGGGATGGGCCACTGCGGCAAGTAAAGTTCTCTTTGATGAAGGGATTTGAATTTAGATGCTTCTTCTATCCCCTAATGTTTAACGTACTTCTTTATTATATATTGCTGCATGAAAAGAAATTCCTGTTATTTCTTCCCACTTCTTTATGCAAATAATGTTTTAGTTCCCCTGGACATTGGTTGTTTACCAAGTGACACTTTACAAAAATAGCTTATATGTTTTATATGAGCCTTTGAGGTTTGGGTTGCTACCGAATTCAGTAAGTAGAAACTTTCATGTTGTATGTGTTTTTTGGTTCTTCAAGATTGTTATACAGACTGAAAGTTTCCTAGAAGCCCTACTTTTCCCTTCTGTGAACTACTAAGTCTTAATAACTTTTGATAGGACGACCAAGTTCTAGTTTTTGTACGATTCTTCTGCTCATGCACTATTTTTTCATATGTTGTATTTTATCATTGATTCACTATATAACATTAATTTGACTGATTAAAAGCTGTTTACTTAATTTCTCAAATTCTTGTGGACTTTCAATGACACAATTTGTTGAAATGTTTTTAGTAGAATATTATAACCTTAAGTACTTGGAATTTTATTTGAATACATAGCTTTAAAATTTTCTTTTTACTACGTTATTTTGTGAATAATCTAAATCTTTTCTGCTAAGTAACCCCTTTCACGTTATTGTTAAATCTAAATGGAAAATAAAATGGTCCATCATATACTATAACCTTTTCAATGAATTTAATGTTCATGAAGTTCCCAAAATGTTGTTGATATTGTTTTTTAAAGGGAGAAAAAATTTAGTTATTGAATAACTATGTTTTGAATATGTTAATGTTAAAAAGATTCAGAAATTTAAATCCAGATTTATCTGTTAATAAATCATGACATATTTTTGAAGTTAATGCAAAGTAATTTTTTCTTATTTTAAGGGATAAAAGAGGAACTCAAGTCAATTGCATATTTTTCTGGAATGAAGTTGCAAAAAGTAGGACTTAGTGGTCCTACTGAGAATTTATAGAACTTAATGGTCCTTTGGTGTGTGAACATAAGGGTAATTTCGCTTATGTAAGACAATGTTGCCAAACTTTTTATTATGTTTTTAGTCAATATATCGAGAGTTTAACATGTACACAATCCACATATTTGGTTGTTGTTTTCTCCTAATGCCAAATTGAAATTACAATGAGCTGTTCCAAGTGATCTTGGAGTCCATCACTGACATGATTTTCCGATTTTGATGCATGAATGCAGAAGAAATATTCGAACTGTGGTGCAGGCAACTTCTAGGGTTGATAAGTTCTCAAAAAGTGACATCATTGTTTCACCATCTATTCTCTCTGCTAATTTCGCAAAGTTGGGAGAGCAGGTTCTACCTTATATATATATATTCTACCATTATGCAGCTTAAACATTGGAACCACAGGCATAATGTTTACGGCAAATAGAGATGATGTTCTAGTATATTGCATAAGTTTGCCATTTTCATATTTATTTTTTCTAATCGGATTTTCTAATGTCCCTAATTGACCTTTTATTTACTATATCTGCATTTTCTCAAGCAATTAGACTTTGAGATGGTCCATTTTTTACAAGATATAGAATGTTGCTCTAATACGTGTTATTTATATAGGTGAAAGCAGTGGAGCTGGCTGGTTGTGATTGGATCCATGTTGATGTAATGGATGGCCGTTTTGTTCCAAATATAACAATTGGACCTCTTGTGGTCGATGCCTTGCGCCCTGTGACAGATCTTCCATTGGACGTGCACTTGGTATTCTTTTCGTTTCTTGACTATTGAATTACCAGGTCTACCTTGAATGATTATGTTTTTACTAATTTAAAGTTAAAGCATTGCAGATGATTGTTGAACCTGATCAACGAGTGCCTGATTTTATAAAGGCTGGAGCTGACATAGTCAGTGTACATTGTGAACAGTCCTCCACCATACATTTGCATCGCACGATTAATCAAGTAAGTGTTCTCTTGAACTCGTGTTACCATACCTGTTTGGAAATTTTGATTGATTAACATTTATCACGTTCTGTTTGTAATTTTTGGGTTTCATAATTAGGAAATCATGCAAGTACCCCCCCCTTCCCCCAATTGCCTGTGTGTGGTTAAACAGACATCCACACGTGTGCAGAGACATACTATGTGCATTGCTTATCTGTGAAAGTCTGGTATAGGGGTTTCCCTTGTTCATTTTGAGATTAAACTAGTCTGGGGCTAATTTGGCAACGCATTGTGTGTTTCGACTGGTGTGGGCTATGGATTTGACATCTTCCTAATGGTTAATGAGTGTGGAGAGAAAAACCAAGTGATGCAGAGAGGTTGTAGTCTCGTAGATCCCTCCTACGGACAGGCTCGTGCAGGGGGCTTGGATAAAACATGATCAAGGTGGATTGTTACTGTAGAAGTTCACTCCCCTGCTGGAATATGTGAAATTTGCCCTGGAAAAAATTTCAAACAAGTGCATTTTTCTTGCACAAGCATTTATACCCTTGTGTGGCTCCAATGTGACTCTTTAAACAAGCAATGGGATTGGATGCTTCACTGCTTTACCTGTGCAATCACCATTGAGATTAGGTGGAATTTTTCAAAGACGTACTGTGTTTCATAAATGAAGGCTGCTTGTGATTCACAGGAAGGCAGTGGAAAAAACATTTTAATTTCTTATCATTCTTCACTTCTCTGAAAGAGAATGATAGGGATTTTGGAAAATATGCTGAGGCAACTTCTAGCTTTGCAACATAAATTATTTATGAAAGATCCATTGAACTCTGCAAGAAAATATAATATAAGTGGGGCCCGGTCCTTTGCAAGGTGGATTATTTCATATTCACTGCTAAGTGTAATGAAGATTACTTTATATCAAGCTATTCCAAGCCACTGGCTTTGAAGCTTCAATGTCGTTCAGCTCTTGATAAATTTGATTGTAAATGTTTGGTTGAGGTCTATGATCTGAATTCATGTTCATTTATTTTGCTCACAGTGAGAACCTCAATAAGGGGAACACGAGGCATCCATTCTTTTGACAAAAGTCGTTATTTCCTAATGACAGACAGCTTTCCACACCTATACTTTTGTTGCAGTTTACATGATACCATAGTAACCAAAATCATCTGTCCAAAACTATCAGGGGAGGTTGATTTTGAATTCTCTTCTAGAATACAAAAACTGCATGCTATAGAACAATCTATATAATAAAACATGACCCATTTTGAATCGTTTAACTTAGCTTAGCACAAGAGTAGCTTAGATTCAGTCAATCCAAAATGACTCAAATCATCACCAAAAAAAATTTCCCCAAATCTGTCCATACTATTTCACGCTGATCAAGGTCAGATTCCCCTCAAAGTTGAAAATTCCATCTATTCCATACATTTTCACGCTAATGAAGGCCAAACAAAGTCGTCTTTCTCCTATCTCTTTCTTTTCTCTCCCAAATTTGTTTTTAAATGGTGGGACAAGATTGATTTTGAATTGTGTAATTATAGAAAATGAAGAAAAAATAAATTGTTATTTCAAATATTGTTCGATTTATTTATGTTAGGCACGGGTAAACCTTCGTAATATACGACACAATCAATTCCTTCTACACTTGCCCCTTGCAACACCACATATGTCGACAATTTCGTGAAAAAGCATCACAGGTGCAGTCTAAATCATTAAACTCTTCTGGAACTTAAGAGGATGATGTCATCTCCATTGGAAATTTTTTTGCTGTTTGTTTAAAGCCTATGGTACAGAGGGAAGATTTACTACTGGTATCTATTTAGCCTAGCTTTGATATAATTTTTGCATTTTGTATGTCTGCTAATGGAGGATTTTTGCATTTTGTGCTAGGAGTTATCTCCTTTGACCACTCTATATCCTATGTTATGATCCAGATTAAAAGTCTGGGAGCCAAAGCTGGAGTTGTCCTGAACCCTGCAACACCACTATTCACAATAGAATATGTCCTTGAGGGTAAGATTTGTTTCATTTTCTACAATGTAGTTCCAATGCTAAGTTCTTTGAAAATAACTCTCAAACAGAGAAATGTCTATTGAGACTCCTTTATGGCAGGTTGTGTATCCTTTATCAATGGTGGCATGTAGGTTCACAGACCTCAACTGATGGGCTAGGCATACAATTGTTGGATATGTACTTGGCCTAAATGATATATTTTGCAGTAATGAACAAGCCATGCAAAATGCTAAATTGGTTCAGATTAGTGAATGAAAACAAAAACTTGAAGGCCAATTAGACGAGCAGTGAACATGTTTTCGATTGTTGATTAAGGAATGGGGATGTGACATCTAACATTCTGATTTGATTATTAAAATGAAAAAATACTTACATCCTAATTTCAACACATCAAGTTGCTGTCAACCTACGCCTACCTCAAAATCAACACTCTGCATATAGTATTTAACATCAGGGAAGCTTGCTTTTATTTTGGTGTTTGGTTGGCTGAGTGGAATTCAATATTTCAAAGGATCTTCTTTGCTCATTGACAGTGGTTGATTTGGTATTGATTATGTCGGTAAACCCTGGATTTGGTGGGCAGAGCTTTATTGAGAGCCAAGTAAAGAAAATTTCAGACTTAAGAAGAATGTGTGCTGAGAAGGTATCTCATTGCCATTTATATGTGGAGCTCTGTCGAGAATTTGGAAAGCAATTGTATTTTGTATGTTTTCTTGCAGGGGGTGAATCCATGGATTGAGGTAGACGGTGGAGTTGGTCCCAAAAATGCATATAAGGTGCCCATTTAAGTCTATAGGCTTTTTATTCTTCCATCTTTTTCTCTTTTTTCTTCTTATTTTGAGAAGATTTCACCCTAGTAAAATTGTGCTAAGAAGCTTCTTTCTACCTATCCAAAATAGTAGAGGGGAACTTGGGATGAAGCCAAGCATATCGTAGCTCTCTCTTGACATTTTAGCTTAGAACTGTCAATGGTCCCATGGTGTTACGTGGCACATTAGAGTTTAGAATCTGATATGAGCTTGATTGAACTCATAAACGAAGTGTCATGAGACGCAGTATGACTATTGCTACTTGATGTGTTACTCATTGAGCATCGCTCACCAAAGGATTATTTTAGTTCATCCTCAAAACCAGATGAAATACCACCACCAGCAACACAATCAATATTTTGAAATTATGAAGTGCTTGGATTCAGTAACTGGCACATTTCGTTATATTTTTATCTTTTTCTACTTCAAGCTGCACTGGATCAGAAAGAAAAACAAAACTACAGTACATCAAGATTAATTTGCATAAATGCATTTTAACATAGGTCAGTGGGCTGGAACACATGGTCGGGCAGTGATGCGTGAAATATGTATCCAATCACCCCTTTTATGTCTATTTCCCAGCTACACAAACTGGTACAATTCACATGACCACTGTTTTATCGGAATCTTTGTTGGCAGGTTATTGAGGCTGGAGCCAATGCTTTGGTTGCTGGTTCTGCTGTCTTTGGAGCTCCTGATTATGCTGAAGGTATGAACTTCTCTATCACTAGGTGTATAGAATACAACTCGGTGTATGCCAACCTTAATTCTGTGCATTGAATGACTGCAGCCATAAAGGGAATCAAAACCAGCAAAAGGCCTGTAGCAGTTGCTGTATAATAGAGGTTTGAACTCCAAGAGATCTGATTCAAGTCAATGTGTGGCATTAGCACTATTTGATTCCCATGTATGTTTCCCGTCACATACTATTTTCATTAATTTCTGCTTATAGTTTAATACCATGTTTTGAAAGCATAGAATGAGAAACATTATATTACAAACCGATACATAATTTATAGATTTTTTTAGGTTAAGTCAAATCGCAACCAATGATTAAAATATTGTTCCGGTGCATTGTTTCAGTTATCTAAGAAATGTAAATGTTTTAAAAATGTTCTGGAAATATTTCGAAAACATAATGGAAACAAATAAAAGATTTAGGAACTTATTTTCAAAACATTTTGAAGCATTGATTTAACTATATATATTTAAACATTTTGAAATATCTCAAAACATTCCAAAACATTAGTGGAAACATGTTAAAACATTTTGAAACAATTCAAAACATTCCGAAATATCTCGAAGCATTAAAATTGCGATTGAATTACTATTTCATTTTGGCGCATTGTTTTGGTCACCTAACAAATGCAAACATTTCGAAAATGTTTTGAAAACATTTTTGAAACAAAATGAAAACGGATAAAAGATTTAGGAATTTATTTTCAATATATTTCAAACAATTGGTTTAAATATATCTAAACATCACAAAACATTCCGAAACATTGATAAAAAACATGTTGAAACAATTCGAAACATTCCGAAATACCTTAAAATATTTTGAAGCATTAAAATTTCGTTTCAATTATTGATTTGTTTCAGTCACTTAAACAATGCAAACATTTTGAAAATGTTTTGGAAACGTTTTGAAAAATAATGGAAACGGATAAAAGATTTAGGAATTTATTTTCAATACATTTCAAAACATTAATTTAGATATATTTAAACATTTTAAAACATCTCAAAACATATTGAAATATTGGTAGAAACATGTTAAAACACCTTAAAACAATTCAAAACATTCCAAAATATTTTGAAATACCTTGAAGTATTAAAATTTTGATTCAATTACCGAATCGTTTTGGACTCTTTAAAATAAAAACGTTTCAATCTTTTCGATTTCAAAACGATATTTTGGTCTTTGATCGCAACTATGATTGTATTTGTTAACTGGACATTTTTAATCCATGCCATGAGAAAGGCAAAGTTGGAATCATTCCAAATGCCAAACATGATTTACACAATTTTGTTGTCTACGGTCCCTTATTCTTTGCCAATCTACTTGAAGTTTCAAGATAAATAGAGCATAATGTCGTTATTAATCTGTTAAAGTTTTTGTAAATACTTTGAAGCAGAGAGCTGCAATGTTCACATTTCTACATTGCACTTAAGCAAACTATTTTGAATGCACGAGTCGCTAGAAAGTCAAAACCATGGTAGAAATAGGATGGTTAATAATCGAACAATTTGTTTCTAAAAAGTTGCCAACTAAATCACATTCTCTTTGCTTCTTTTTTGTTATATTTACACCTTGTATTTTTGCATTGGCAGATAACATCCAGAAGCAGTTTGCTCATGTTGTCAAATATACATTTACATGGTTGATTTCTCTGGTGTCACTTATGAAATTAATAAGAAAAATAAGTTCTTAAGAGAGCTACAGTGAGACAGAATGTTTGTAACATATCTTGCAAAGGAGCATGCTGATTCGAAGCTTGTCTGCAGTATTTTTCCTTGTAACAAATCTCTCTACCATGAATAACAAGCCTAATAAGCTGTTTTTCGTGTCAATCTTGAATATATACCCATTGATGTTCAAATATTGGAATTTCAGTGCATTAACCAACTATGAAGAAATAAGCATTGCAACTAGTATCGCGGCTATCATTGAATTCTCAGTTTTGAATGGTCATTTCCATATTGGTACACAGAAAAGGGTAAAGGAAGCCATAGGACTCTCTATAGCTTAGGATGAGGGTGCTGGAGATTAAAGCAATGAAGTAAAGTAGTAGGTTCTATATAGAGTATCTTTTTATGTTTTTGGGGGTATAGTATATAAAATGTATCTGTCTTGGTACGAATAGCAAGAAAATACATATTACCCAATCATTTTTCAAACTATAAAGATTATAACAACTAAGTTGCATAACTAAAAGAGTGATCAATGACTAATGATTTGATTGGTTATATAGAGAAAAATTATTATATCTATTATGCAATTAACATAATTTGTTGTGAAAGGTTGTAATTTAATTATTTTTAAAAAAAATTATTTATATATGGTATATTGACCGACATCTGACCTTTTTTGTATTTTATGAATCTTTAACTATAAGTATAAAATATAATGCAATAAATTTAAATATGTTATATTATTTTTATTAATTAGGAGAAAAAAATTAAAAAAATTTAAGTATAATACCCACCATAGACTGAATTTTTGGCTCCGCCCTTGATTCAATGGAATATCAGTTTTCCAGGATTTCTCATACAAACTTTTTTCAACTCGAAATCCAAACATGAAGGATGCTATATGATACCGGCTTCATCAGTGAATGCCTTCAAAGGAGAGCATGTGATTATGAACAACAATTTGCTTCAGAACACTATGTTACAATAAAATACATACAAGTACACATTTAGCAATATCAATGTTCCTTTTCTATACATGAAAACCAAAGCCTACATACATTTTACACATCTTGTCTGCATACCGGGCATGAGCCGTGTCTAGTGAGCCACATGTCGACACAAGTCAAATGGAACGTGTGGTGGCACCGCGGCAAGCTCCTTGCAATTTCCCCGATTTCAACATCCTGTCGAAAACACATTCTTATGATCAGTATATAAAATGAAATGATAGGTATGAATCCAAATATTCTCAAATATTAGTTAAAGACCTGTAAACATATTGTACAACAGATGCTTTGCTTTGTCTTGATTTCATCCGATATTACATGACATGGAAGCTTTTTTAGTGCACCCTCCGACAAGCCTCTGGTAGATGCTCCTATATAGACATCGCGTATCTCATCATAGCTTATGTTACCATCAATTACCTGCTCATTTTACGCAAAAATAACCCCTAAAGTAAGTTTTATAAGCTACTGAGACTTCCACACGTGTATCTAAGTGTATAATCAGCAACTACAAAGTGAATAAACTTAGAGCTTTACATGAATATTGCGAACCAAAATCGAAAACATTCTGAAAAATTGAAGCCTCCTAGAAAATTATTGAAAAGGCTTTACCATAACAGACATCAGCATATATTTCTATGTAAACAGAGGACATCAAAGGCAGAAAATGAAGGAGCTCCCAATGCATTATAAGATGTCCAAAGCCTACATGGTGTTGTCATTATGGCAATACTTCCTCACAGGAAACGAAATGATATTGGGCAAGGAACAAATAAAAAGCTCTCAAATAAATAAAATACTCTCAGCTCGTAAGAGTACCTTTCCTCTCTAACATTTGGGATCAATGATCAGGGGAAAATTTTTGGGCATCCAAGAGGAAGGTGACATAAACAGAAACTTAATTTAAATATGCCTTGCCAAAATCCAGGTTTCCTAGTCATATACATATACAAGATGCACTTCTGATACCCTGACCTATATTTTAAAAACAATATGCAGAAAAAAGGAAGAGACCTGCCAATGATAAGCCGTTAACATTGGTGGTGGAAACGGTTCCTCTACAAACCTACTGCGGAAGAGCTCCTCTATAAAATCTGCCTAAAACCAAAAACATAAAAGTTAGCCACAGACCTCCATATTCAGGCAGGATGACATTCCACTAGAGAAACAGTTTGAAAATTCTATGATTTTCAAGCATAAGATATCATAATATCTTCTCCTGAGTTACCAACCATAAAAGGGATAATAACAAAGAAACAATAGATAAATATGCTTCAAGGACACACACCATGGATGATGAACTCCGTGAGCCCGAGCGCTCCAAACACCAGTAAGCACGGGAAGCCTCCAAAACCTCTACAGAGAGAACAGCACCAGCAATGGAGCCCAGTCCAGCTCCACGAAGGACACCACTATCAGAAGCCCTACCTGCTAAAGCACCAGTGATGGCTCCTGTAAAAGCCCCAGCTACAGGTGAAACAAATGAAAAAATTGTCAGGAAATCAATCTGCAACCGAACAGTAAATGGGTACAGATCAACCCCATTAGAGTAGCCCCCAGATAGACATTAACCTCATTAAAGAGGTATTGTAATAATTTCAAGCAGCACTGGAGAAGCAGACAGGTCATGAATAAATCATCCATAAGTTTCAAGTGAGTGCTGTATATGAGAAAACAATTATATATTGCCCACATCCTAGCAATTAAAGTTTCTACTGTTGAAATATACCCAACATTGCTAACTGAAAAAAGAAACCAAGTTTGACAACATAAGACAAACTTTGATAAAGGTAAGATGTTCAGACCTTCCTGTAATTCAAACCCCAAATGACCTGCCACAACCAGGGGGATGCATTGTAATAAATTGTTCCTGACTTCTTCAATGCCCATAACCTATGATCACCATCCACATGACCCTCTACCTCTGCAAAGACTCCTAATACTCCCAAAGTTGTCCACTAGCAACCCATAATTTCTAGAAAGGAACCATGCATCTCTAGTTTATATCTCAAGCACCCAGAATCTAAATTGCTTCATTCACCTCAATCAATCACGTAATCACTCAATAATACTTCTTAATTCAAACACCCAGAATCTAAATTGCTTCATTAACTTCAAATTTAAGAAACTCAGCCCTGAAATAAAACGAAAAACACCAAATTACCGAGGGCAAAGAGCGCTGTTAGAGGACCAGATAGCGCACTATCCATCAATTTTGGTATTAAATTATAATCCCTTCAACCTCTCGTCAGAATCATTAACAATTTTTAATTTAAACACCCAGAATCTAAATTGCATCATTAAGTTGATAATCAAATTTAAGAAATCTCGCAGTAATATAAAAAAAACCCAAAAAAATCCAAATTACCGAGAGCAAAGAGGCCTGTGAGAGCACCAGAAAGCGCAGTAGCGATCATTCTTGGTATCAAATGATAAGCCCTCACAAACCTCCCTTCAAGCTCTCCATCAATACCATCTTCCATCGTCTACGACCCGGCTCGCCTTGACACCGGGCGGGGCTCGAATTCGGCACAGCACAACTCACGAGCTTCTTCAACGGGGTGGTTGTGATCAAGGCTACATGAGCAGTATCGAAGCTCCATCATATAAAATACAAATAATGAGAAAAAAAAAATCTGAATTTTAAAAAAGACACCTCAATTTTGTCTGATTCAACTTTGTAGAATGTTCTTTCAATGTTATTAGGCAGTATCACGATATGGTGTAACACTTATATTAAATATTTACTCATTTGATAATAATACTCAATATCACTTAATAAATGAATTATCAATAAAAAAAAAGAGCCTAACATTTTCTATAACCACCAACTACATAATGTTAGAACGCGGAACACGCTTCATCATTTTCTTATAGTTGTTAAATTTATAATGTAAGGTGCATGATTGTGATTACAAATTATTTTATTTTTCTTAGTGAGTTGCAATTTATTGTTAGTCACATTAGATAAATAGAAATTATCTTTAATTTATACCAAAAAAAAATATACCCCAATGCAAAAATCAAAATTTTATTTTGAAACGGTCGAAATATTTCCATTTTTAAGGAAATCGAAATAAATCAATGATGTAATTTAAATTCTAATACTTTGAGGTATTCATTGTAATACTTCAATGCATTTGCATAATTATTTCAAAATATTCTAACATATTTTAAGATACTTTAGTATATTTCGACAAATGCTTTAAAAAAATAATTTTTAAATTTTTTTTTCTGTTTCCGAAACGGATCAAATCTTTTATTAAACAGGTCAAAACTTTTCCTAAACATGTCAAAAACGTTTTTGTTTACGGTGAATGTGCCGAAATAAAATTTAAATCCTTGTCCAAGGGTACAAAAATCCCGCTTATAGCAGCACATTTTAAGACCACTCAACCTCTTCTAAAATCAAATAAAATCAATGCATAAAACTAACCACATCAAGATTTAGAATAAGTTAATAACAGCCCCCTTCCAACCAAAAATATCTGGAGAGAGAGAGAGAAGCAAAAGCCATCCACAGTAATGCAACGCAGATTGTTATAGGGAAGAATTACAAATAGGTCTTTTGAGATTTGTCACTTAATCACTTAAATTTTTTGACATTTAAAATATTATATACAAACCCCCTGAGATTTGTACACACGTAACACTTAGACTCCTGAAGTAAATATATTATTTAATAAATTACACTTAAACCCTCTAAAGTTTGTATGTATATAATATTTAGACACCTTAAGTTTAAAATATTATATTTAGATTAAAAATACTTCAATTAAAGATAAAGTATAAAATATTTTAAATTTTACAACCAAAATTTATGTTCTATTATATCATTTATTGAAATAAAATTAAAATTTAAAATTTAATTTTTTTTAAAAAAATTATAATTAATTTACAATTATATTGTCTATTAGAATTTAATTTGGTCATTTAAACAACCAAATTAAATATCAAACAACCTCGACTAAAGCTAAAAGATATTATATCAATTACAATTTGACTTCTTCTTTAATTTTTTAGTTTTATACTAATAGATAGTATAATTATACACTAACTATGATTTTTTTTTAAAAACCTAAACTTTTATTTTTGATTTTATTTCAATAAATGAAATAATAAAACATGAATTTTAGATGTGAAATTCATATTCTATTATGAATGACTTAGACCCCTTATTTGATTTTTTACTTTTATTTCAATAGATAATATAATTGTATATTAATTACGATTTTTTTTTTTAAAAATAAATTTTTAATTTTAATTTTATTTCAATAAATGATACAATAGAACATAAATTTTCATTATAAAATTTAAAATATTTGATATTCTATATTTGATTGAAATATTTTTTGTCTAAGTATAATATTTTAAACTTAAAGAATCTAAATATTATATACCTACAACCTTCATGGGAGTTTAACTATAATTTATTAATATATATATTTACAACAGTGGTCTAAGTGTTACGCACGTACAAACTTCAAGAAGTCTGTATATAATATTTTAAATATTAGGAGATTTAAATAACAAATCTCAAAAGGTCTAGACATAATTCTCAGTTATTAACATTGTGAGATGAGCTTCACAAATCCAAATCATAAAAAATAGTCAAAGCATCAACCACACGTTCACACCTCAACCAAAAGCTAAATCAAAGTTCAGGCACTTCCCGACCGCCTTGACACCTTAATTTTAAGGAACCCCACCCCAGTATCATGAACGCAAAGCGCCGGCTGTAACAACCGTGATGTTGTCACGTAAAAATCTATAAAGCAATAATAATCTCTTTTTATCAATGGTGAGGTTTGGAACCCACTCATTTTATACTTCTTTGCTAACCTTGCAGACTCTCATTCCCACAGTAGCAGAAATATCTGAGACGTCCAACAGTACAAAATTTCAACGTAGAGTTCAGCCAAGAACACGCCTATAAGGTATTGAATGTATATATAACTCCTTATGCAAGTATTAGTTGATGATGACGCAAATATAACTCAAGCCCCCCTCCCCTCCAATATATATCGACCGATCTAACTTGCACAAAAAGGGACAGGATAAAAGCATCGATCGACATGGAGGCAATGAAACTCGATCCCAAGTTGTGCCTGAAGGTGAACACCTCTCTATAAGACACTAAACATTCGATAGATATCACTATCAAAAGTCAACTACCATGTACTATCTATTTTGCCAAAAATCGCCACAACTGAATACCATAGCAAATCTCTAAATGGCCTCAAATCATGAATAAACCTCACCACCCAAAAAACGCAGCACAGTCAACTAAATTAATGGTGACGTCCCAAATAAAAAACAAAATTAATTATGTACAGCTGAAAGTGTTGAATAACTAAAGCCAAAGGTGTACATACTACCAAAACTCAACCACAAATCGATAAATAATTTAACCAAAATCTTCTCCCATACCCTTGTAAAATATGACAATCAACATGTAACTTCTTTATTTATCAATTCTGCTAGATGTTTATCTACTTGTGTAGTATTGATTTTGCTGTAGAAACAATCATGGCAAAGCAGTATTATGCATAATAAATACTCAATTCGTCTATTTGTGGAAGGACCAAAAAATGTGGGCCAAATAATCTCCATTTCCTCCTCCTTAAAGATATGCTTAGCCCGGCAATAACCATTGAGATAAAAAGAATGACTAGTCATGCACAGGAGTACCAGACTAGGTCTTGATCCTTGAAGACTCTCCCACGGCATGCTCCATTCTTGAGTACCATTCACCAATCCGGGTGTGTTCCACCATATCTCTACCCGACCTCAAATAACGTATAGGTCTTAACACCCCAAAGACAGCAAGGTCAGCTAAATTAGGCTTCGAACCCCCTGAAGCATTTGCAAACAAAAAAAAACCAAAAAGAGGGAAATTTTATCACACCAGACAGAATAAAAAAATTATGCTGACAGGCAAATATGGCTCAACGCCCTTGAGTTTTTCTCGTCAACAATCATGCCTGAAGTTTATACAACAAAAGCCAAGTGACTCATCACGGAAAAGCTTAACACCTTAAAGCCAGCCTTTACCAATACGAGTGCCAAAGTTACATAGTTCTGACAGAGTCAAATCTTGTTTCCTCTTTTTCCATTTATCAACAGTAGCATTATTAAAAAACACCCCACTTTGTATAATTTAAAAGCTGTTAAATTGGATATTATCTATGTCCTCAAAAATCTTTTACCCTGAAACGTTATTGGTTAAGCGGAAATTTCGAAGGGTGTCAAAGTGCCACACAGTTCTTCAATCTCTGAAGCTTCATATCAAATCAAGAACTGCCCGCAATATGTAAACTCAAGAACACATGTTAAGTGGTTACAAGCAGCGGTCAATTAAATTGGAGGAAAAGCTACTTCCAGGAATCATAAAATTTGGGCACTCACAACCATCTGAATTCCCTGACCTATCCACAAATCGAAGGTAAGTGTTTATTTTCTTTCTTTCTATCTTCGTAAAAGAAATTACCACCCAAAAAATACAGAACTGTCAAGAATTATCAGAATTTGGTACTGTGCAACCTTCACCAGACAAGTGAAACATAAACTTGTAGTCGAGATGAGGTTACACAGAAAGGTCAATGAAAAATTCCACCACAGATAAGCCTAACTGAATGATTATCGTCATTTTTGTTTATGACACTGTAGTGTTAGATTTAGGTTTTAGGGTTGATAATTTCGTGACTTGTATATGAATTTAAAGATATTGAAGACTAGAGCTAACATCACAACTAAAGCATGGATATGAGCTTTGAAGTCTTCATAGTAGCAAAGCGACGCAAACTTCAGCATTTTCCAAGACTTCAAGATCAAAGGGAATAGTGTCTAGAGATACAGGGAGTCAATATTAGGCAGTAGGCATACATCTCGGACAAGGTTGGCCTGTCCTGTGTTTAGTTGAAAATGCACTTAAAACAAGACATGGGAGAGTAACGGACAGTAAGGCAACAGTCTATGACTGCAGTGCCAATCGACTGCCAGACAGGATGTTTAAAAACTATAGCCGTTTTGTTACTGTGTAAGGATCCTTACATTATTCATAGATTTTATCTCCACCAAATGAAACTTGATGCGAGAGAATCCTAAACCACCTATAAACTTTAGAAAACAGTCAAAGAGTGAGTAATGAAGGACTGGAGTGGATTACACATCATCAGCCTCTCCATCAATGTTACCCGAATCATGGGTTGATTTGATACGTGATTGAGTACAAGTACGCAATGTGACACTTCTTTCGTTAGAAGAATGATTTAGGTCGCGATTCGTTTTGTAAATCATAGAATTATAAATTCATATACACACAATTAACTAATAAATATTTTACTTCCAAAACGAATCAGAATTCAAGATAATGTACCGCCAAATATTTGTAAATAATAAATGTTAATTGTTGCATATTTGTATTATGTGAAAATTTTAAATTGCAAAATATAAAAATATGAGTTTATAGAACACCAAAATAAATAAATAACATGTTAAAGTTACAATCTGGGGTTAGGACTATGATGTGGAATTACTTATATCATGAGTCAATTTGTGGTTTGAGTCATAGATTCAATAGTTTTGGATTCAGATTTTTAGCAATCTGGATTGCCAACCCACTCTGTTCCGGGGTCATGCAACCTCAGTTTGTGGGACGCTAGGAGTATATATGATCTGGGTCATTTATTTAAGGTACAATTTAAACTTACCTGTGAAATTAGACACTAATTCTATGACAAATTGTCCTAGTAATAATATCGGCATAGCTCAAGAAGAGTTTGTAAGAACATTGTGATAAAATTAGTTGAGTTGAAGTGGTAGAGGTTACGGGTAAGCCTAATGAAACCAAAAAATAGAGATACAGGTTAACAGTGAGTATATTGAAAACCATTTGTTGTGAGATATTTTGTGGTGATCCTAGAGAATCCCTTACTTGGAACTTTACCGATGGGGTTGGAAGAGTGGATGTAGGACAAGGGTAAGCGAACTACTGTATATATTTGTGTTCAAATGTGGTTGAATGTCCTATTATTAAAACGCATTAAATTATAGGACCATAACAATCTCAAGCTTGTACTAATTTTGTGCTTTTTGGGTTACTATTTGGGTCATTTGGTTGGAGAGGATTGAAAAGATCTTTGAGGACGAAAGTGAGGAGGTTGAAAGGTTATGGTACCGGTTATATTTAGTGGCTTTTTCTTCACTTCCTTTTGGACCTAGGTGTCCTAAGGGGTTTGTGAAAGTTCCTCTTTCTCATATTATTGTGAGCTGGACAGCTTTGTGTGGAACATTGTGTGATTTATTTCCATAGTTGTGTTTGTATGATGTTATTTTGGCTGGACAACTTTTCCACCTTTGATTGGCTTTTATCACTTTTTTCTATATTATCTTATTAATAAAATTACAGTTTCCTAAAAACTGCAAGCTTTAATTCAGAAGTCTTAAACCCTCTTGAAAAACTTTAGTTCATGTTCAAAATAGCAACCACAACATCTAGGCTCTAATTTGTCATAGGATTTTATAGAAAGTTTTATAAACCCAAAATAGACCAGAAGAAGTCTAAGCATTCCACAGTTGCACTTAAAAGTACAATCTAGAGTTATTACTTACTTAAGTTGCTCACTAATAACATGAGAATTTACTAAAATACCCTTAGACTGTTTTTACATGTAGATAGTTACAATTAGGGCTTGGAGAGAGAAAAATTGATGGTTCTATTCACACCCAATGACTTTTTACAGAGTTTATTCTATTCTAAGTTTCTAACGCATGTGTATTATATTCACCTTGAGTACAACGTAAGTCTCCCTTTGGCAATTGCCAGTACACTTTGTGACTCAATATTATGCTGTAAATTCTGAGTCACAGTATAGAGTTGGCTTCGTAACTCAGAGAAAAGTATCAATAAAGTAAAACATGTGACAGGTGGGTGCCTCAAATGAACTATAAAATTTTGATTCATGAACAGAACTTTAAAGTTTAACCCTTGGTCCTTATGATACACCATGAATAAGTTACACAGGATTAGATGACTGCATTGCAAACCATTTATTAGCATCATCCTGTGTGGGTATGTCTGTGTGCATGCATGCACTTGTCTGGGTGCAATTTTATATGTGCAGGCCACATTAATTCTGCATGCAAGAAGATAAGATCAAGAGAACAAACCAAGAAACTCCCGGCCCTTAAGTTCATCCACCCACGTTTCTGCAGCTTCATACAAGGCAGCACGTTCATCAAAAATGTTATATTTCTTCTTCAGGTTCTTGGACACAAAATACATAGCTGCAGCTCCAGCATATTTAACAGTAATTTTTTCGGTGAAGGTGAAATTACCTGGAAGTACAGGAGATGAAATGAGATCGAGGTACTTAACATAGATCAGATTTCAATATTTTCAAAGGATCTGAAGAATAAGGCACCGATATCAAAATGCTGAAGATATTAACCACAAAATAAAAATGAAATCAGAATCAAGGTTAGAATAAAAAACAAAAATCAATTGCACCTACGCCCCCTCACAAAAACCTCCAAAGAAGAAAGTAACAAAAAAAACAAAAGGGAAACAGAAATAGATCCAAAAAAGGAAGGATGACTTTTGTCCTTTAGAACGATACTCTAGTATAATTCTCAACACATTCTTAAATATTACAAGCGCAATATTATGGGACCAATTGAGTGCTTACACCTAAGAAAAATCATCACTGGGAACTACATACATGATATATGAGTTTCTGACCATCCAAAGAATGTACAAGAACCACATACAACACACACATAAAAGAAAAAGAAAGGCAACAATAACAAATTTTCTCTGAACTACATTGAGTTGCATCTCAGAACATTACAGGAAGTGCAGCCAACAAAGATAGTAATAGATGCATATACCTCAAGTAGCCAGAAGAAACTCCATACAAACAGTTTAACCGCAATGAATTCATTCATAATTAGCTAATAAGACACAGAGATCAATGACCAAAAAATAGAAGATAAAGATATCAATGGATTGAACAAAAATGGAATGTTTCTTGCGTCATCGCCACCTCGCATGCGCATATTAAAGAAGAAACACATCAGAGTGACTCTTAAGCATAAATAACAATATATGAAGACAGGTATCCTGCCATAGATTTTAGCATTGTCAAAGATCTGAGAGCTCCAAAATCCATGGAGTAGTTTGATATATTCATGGTGATTGTCATATGACACTACATCTTAATACATAAGATCAACATAATACTTACCATTGCTAGTGATATAATCAAAGGACTCCAAAGCCTCAGATGTATTTCGGTAGATGTTTGGTGATAAGATATGCACCAAATGATTATCAACCCACCTATAGGGAACACATAAATCATCACCAGCTGAACGTGTCAAAGGAAAAACATAAACGTTATACTACAGTGATCCCCTTTGTAGATCATCACCAGCTGAATGTGTAAAAGGAAAAACATAAATGTTATATTACAGTGATCCCCTTTTTAGGACATAAGATCTCTTCACAGTAACAATTTATCACCATCAAATCCAAGCTTTTTGCATACCTCCTTCATTCAAAGCCAAGTACCTTCATTCCACCATTTTCAATCCTAATCCTGCAGCTTGTCTATAACTTAAAACTTACCTAAAAGCAGTCAATATCAGGAGTGGGAGTTTTGAGGTGGTGTTTTACAAGATATGTTTCACATATGTGTGTGTGCTATGTATGTACGTTTTTGTGAGTATATTTGTATTTTCCATGAATCTGACATAGCAGGTCTTCTGCACATGTTTTCTTAATTACCATTTGGAATTTTCATTTACAATGGTGGTATATGTATATAACATCATTTTGTTACTTGACATGTTTGTATACCGTGTGCCTCATCAAGTATTTACATAAATCCACAAATTAGTAATCATTTAACAGTAGTGATAAATAGAGATCATATTCCCAGTTGACAAAGCTTCTCAGCAATTACATTCAACTAGCCACACAAATCATTTCTCCGGTTGTTTAGCTACAGTTATGCAAGTAACCAATACCTAAAGGTGGCAGCCAAAAACAATTAGAATACAAATCAATGCTATATTTGGTCCCAGAATGTCAACCGAATGCTGAGAGCTAATTCCCCACCCTCTCTAACCAGAAAATATCCAAGTAATTTTTTTTTAATTATCATGTCAAATTAAAAATTAAACTGTCAAGCATAAAATCTTTCGCGAAATATGCAGAAATTCAGAAACAAAACACTAGCTGCAGAAAAATGGGGGGAGTAGAACATACTGGCGCCACTTTTTCTCTTCATTGTCATCAGGGACTGAATTAGTGGATTTCTCAGGAAGAATCTTGTTGCACAACTTATCAATGATTGCTGCAAACATAGGAAAAACCACATGCTAGTTTAGTGGGTGCTGCAATGATCTAGCCAACTGTATATATATCCATAGCCTGCTTTATGGTATATATCATCTTAGAGTTAGTATTTTTAATCCAATGCATAAAAAGAGGAAAAATTTTGAAAAAAAATTCTATACAGGACAATGATAGCAAGAACCTGATGAGTCAACCAACTGCTCCCCATCCACCATCAATATGGGGACCTTCTTATAATCAGACCATTTGATTTCCTTTTTACTAATTGGGTTCACCTCCACAACTTTGTACGGTATATCATAATAGTCCAGGACAGCTGAGATCACCAATAAAAACAACAGAAAGATAACTTTTTTACAGCACTGAACAAGAAAAATAACACAGCAAAGGAAGAAGCAAGCATCATATATCAGGTCCTTAGCCCCAGAAGACCCGTCTTTTACCCAGTTTAGTCCGAAACCAATTAGTGACCCCTCAAATGATTGGATATATTTGGCTAGATGGAAAGATTTTGTTCCTCAAAACTAACTAAAGAGAAAAGGGAATTTTTTCTCAGCTACACCATAACTTTTGTCAAGATAAGCAAGCCTTAAAGAGCACTAACATGCAACATTATATTGTGAACCTCTTTTGGTCGGGACAAATAAAGCCCAAAGTTGTGCCTGTCTTTTCTACTAAGAAAAGCATGCAAAATCTAGTATTTCAGCAGTTGTAACTTTTTACTTGCTCTGATAAGCATACTAGGTCTCTTGAAATTTGGTTGCCTGCTTGCAAGATAACTAAGGGAAAACAACATGTCACATATCTTTACTATCTATTGTTTGTATACAGCGGCAACAACTTGTGGGCAATAGAAACCATAAAACAATCCATGAGGAGTCAAATCAACCAAATGCCAGTCTCATTCCTAGTTACAGATAATTTTAGTGTAAACTAACAACCATCATGCTTCATTTTAAGTCTGTTGTATATGGAGAACTCACAAATCTAATCTTAGTATGGTTGCCTTTGAATATATAGTCCACTTTTAATTTGGAATCCAATCTAACCTATAGGCTATAACACAATAGCAAACCCTTTCATAATTCTTGCTCTGGACTCCTCTTGAACGCCTATACTGGTCTGCATCTATGCCTGGATTGGAGGACTCCTTATCTTTCTTTTCATTTTTTGGTGGGGAGTGGTTTTTATGCACCCATTGTCTTCAGACTGTTTTGGCACCCCAAATATAAAAAACAAACAGAAACCCTAAAAAAGAAATAAACACACTGGAGGACAACTTCAACCAACAACTTTGGTTTTTAACAAACCATTTTTTATCAACTCGTTTACCTATTTGCAGTGTCCTGCAGCTGACATTTTTAGTCTTCTTCCTCATCATTATATAACATAATACAGCTACGTTCATTCTCATTTTAATTGAAGGACCAATGTTACAGTGTATAAGTCAATTATACTTCCCTTGTAATTTATATAATAGCAACAAACCCAAAATAGGACACAAAATTAGTCCAAATGAAAATCATGGGATAGTTCCAGAAATGAGAATTACCCACACCGCACTGAACCGCTTGCCATGTTAATTTCCTCGTATCCACATTCATACAGTATGGCACACATTTACATATACATGAGTTAACTTACAAAGATAAAGTTAAAGCCAACCTTATGCTCAAACTTAAGTCAACCACAGAATCTGAACAGATCATATTTTATCCAGTGATTGTTGACAAAATAAGACAATCCAATCCAGTCATTATAGGGCCAAATTTCCATTATCTTCATCTTTACAATAAACAGGATAACAAGAAGAAATATACTACCCAAATTTTAAAACAAGAAGCAATTAGCCAATATATATATATAAAAGTTGTTTGCCTGCGAGAAAGCTATTTGGGAGCCAAACCCAAAACCATATCAGGCACAGTTAACTTATTACCATATCAACTTGGACACCAAAATTTTCAAAATAAAACGCCAGAGTCTAAGAATGTTTCTCGGGAGCTCCACCTCTTCCAGCCACCATTTAGAAACCAAATGCAGTATTCAAACTTAGCCAATGGATTCAAGTGATATCATAATCGGTCAAAGCAAATATCACTCACAACGCTATCCATTTCTTTTTGTTGAATTAAATATTCAACAAAGACACGCATAATATAAATCAAGATATACACGCATAGTCGTTACTAATTCTCAGGATATTAAAAAATTTTGTTCAACCAATAAAATTATCCTTTAATTTCTTTCCTAGTAGATGGTTGAAGGGGAGACACCTAGGGGAGACGAACACCTGTTCTCCTTTGCTATTACAGTCATAGTCCAGGCAAACACACACAGATAGGATTCAATTTCTTTCTCACAAATATTTCATTTACCAATGAATATAAATATAATGTCCCATTTGAGCTTAAATGATCTATTTGACAGACAATTTAACAATATTAAAGTAAGATTAACAATTATTTGAAAGCAAATTGTTCAAGCATAAGATTGAGATCAGCAAAAATGATATAAACAATGAGATGTTATTTACCTTTGACCTTGTTACAGAATGGGCAAGCCTCATATTGATAAAGAATAACATCCTTGGGTACGGCTTCAGGCGATGGAGGCTCTTTAGCGTACACCTCTTGAGACAATGTGGCCACTCCGGCAACCGTGGCCAGAGCTCCGGCTAGGCCAAGGGACACAGCTTTGGCTGAGCCAGAGATGGAACTAGACCACCAACGACGAGTGGATGATGTAGTGGTGCCGTATAACGCGGCCTGGAGGAGCCTGGGTTGGACGGTGGTGGCGCAGCCTTCGTTGGCGGAGAGGAGTGCCCGGGAGAGGGCTGAGGCAGCGAGAGTCGAAGCTCTTCTCATTGTCTGTGTGTGTGTGCGAGAGAGAGAGAGAGAGACGGAAGGTTATTGGAATTGTCCGGTGATAGATCTGCTGAGGTTTTAGTAGGGCCTAAGAGGCGACTGCTTGCTACAAAAGACGGTGATTGAATGAATCGGGTCGGATCAAAACAAAAACATTAATGGAGAATTATATCAAGATCCCCTAAATTTTGTCACTTAATCATTTAGACCTACTAATATTTAAAATATTACACACAAACCCTTTAAAGTTTGTACACACGTAACACTTAGACCTGTTATAAATATATCTATTAATAAATTATACTTAAATCCTTTGAAGTTTATAAATATATATCACTTAGACCCTTTAAGTTTTAAATGTTATACTTAGATCAAAAATATTTTAATTAAAGATAAAATATTAAATATTTTAAATTTTACAATTAAAATTCATGTTATATTGTATCATTTATTGAAATAAAAATTTATTTTTTTCTTAAAAAATTATAATTAGTATAATTATATTATCTATTAAATTTTAATTTGATCGTTTAAACGACCAAATTAAAATATCAAACTACCTCAATTAAAGCTAAAATATATTGTGTCTATTACAGTTTTACCACTTATTTAATTTTTTTCAGTTTTATTGTAATAGATAGTATAATTATATACTAACTATGATTTTTTTTTTTTAAATAAGATTTTTATTTTTAATTTATTTTAATAAATTACATAATAAAACATGAATTTTGGATGTAAAATTTATGTTTCATTATGAATGAGTTGGACCCCTTATTTGATTTTTTTTAGTTTTATTCCAATTGATAAAATAATTATATATTAAATATGATTTTTTAAGAAAAAATTAATTTTTTAATTTTAATTTTATTTCAATAAATAATACAATAAAATATTTTTTTTTGTAAAATTTAAAATATTTGATATTCTATCTTTGATTGGAGTACATTTAGTCTAAATATAATATTTTAAATTTAAGGGGTCTATGTATTATATACTTACAAACTTTAAGAGGTGTAAGTGTAATTTATTAATGAATATATTGGAATGGGTTTAAGTGTTACACATGTATAAACTTTATGAGGTATATGTATAATATTTTAAATATCATAAGATCTAAGTAATTAAGTAACAAATTTCAAAGAGTTTAGGTATAACTCTCTCAAGCATTAAACATCAGCCTTTTTTCCTAGGTAAGGAAGGAATAAAAAAGTAAATTGATTAAAAAAATACACATATAACCCTCAAATTATGATTCTTTCGTCAATTAAGTTCTTAATTTTTTTTTTCAATATAGAACCTCTTATCAGGCTGCAACTCATTTGTGTCATGTGAGTGAAAATGTGAGTAACATTCTTCGTCACTCACATAAACATTTAATTACTATTAAATTTGATCACTATTTTCTTTACTTGAGATACGCACTGTAGAATAAATTATAATATAAATAATTTGTTCTTTTGTTGTATTTAATCACGTTGATTTTTGCAAAAGATACGTATTTTTTAAAACTATGCAAAAGTACAAATTGTTTTCGGAAACTCATTATTACCGTCTTAGTTATTTAAAATTTGGAAAAATATAATTATTATAAGTGAAAAAGTATATATTATTGTTAGTTTAACATTATAAAATAATTTGTTATTAACAATTTGAAGTTGAGATTTAATATACAGGTGAGATTATTTTACTGTAAATTATATGTCCAGCGTCTGAATTACACAAATTATATTTTTATAAAATTAAGATTACATATATTTAACTCTTTATAAATCTCTTAATGACAAAAACCTCGTAAAATTGTATGGTATCACAATTCTCTAAGCCTTTGTTTCAAACAAATTACATCAAACTCAAACTTTTATATGACAAGGCAAAAGACCACATCTACCATTGGTGTTCTTTGATGTTGGCACGTAATTTTTGTTAGGTGGGATTATTTCCACCCCACAAATTTATATTTTTATCCTATTTAATTTATCATTATCAAACTACTAAATTTATTATTTTTACACTCATCCCATTAGTAATTAAGGCCACCATATTCTACATATAACCTATTAATAGTTAAGTTCAATAATTCTATGTATACCTCATTTATTGAAAGAAGTCATCATAAGAAAAAAATAATGAAGAAAAACAATTAGTTTGAATAGATAAATATATTTATGAAACAAAAAAAAAACCAAAAACAAAACAAGTAATAAAAAACATGCACGTCGAAAAAAGAAAAAAAAAAGAATGAAAAAAAGAAGAAGAAGAAGAAGAAGAAAGAGGAAGACGAAAACAAGAAAAAAGAAAATAACCAAACAAGAAGAAAGAGGAATAAATAAGCAAACCAAAATAAGAAGAAAAAAAATTCAAGTAAAAATTAAAAGAACGAACAAAATTACAAGACGCAAAACCAAAAATGAATAAAAAAAATCAAGCATAGACACAAAATAAAATAAAAAACTATAATAACAATCTTAGAGGCAAAACTTTAATAAGACAAAAAAAAATTAAATACTATAAAAACATACATATATATACACTCACAGGTATAAAATCTAAATACAAAATTATTAAATTTGACAGATATATCAAAATATACCTAAAATAATGAAAATTCATATAACAATATATGAAATCAAACATAAATTTAAATTGAGAAAATAATACTAACTCATATCTTACTGAAAAAATTCATATCAAAAAATATTTTTAGTGAGTGTATGAGATGAGATAGATAATAAAACCCTGATTATAACAAAATATAAAATGAGTTTATTTATTGAAAGAAGTGTATATAACATGTGGTGAAATTAATTAATAATGAGGTGAAAATAGAAAGTGTGAGTTTAATAGTTTAGTAATGAAAAATTAAACGGGGTGAGAATGAAGATTTTAATAATAGCCTTATCCTTTTTTGTTAATTATTTGGACAAAATTTAGTATGATAATTATTCAAAAAATTATATATAGGAAAAGCAAAAAAAATAATAATAATAATAAATTTTACCTGCACCCGGTTTTGATCGGGCGAGACCCGACCCAACCACAATGTCTTCAAAGTTCAAGCCATAAAAATCAAAACCCTTCCTTTCCAAATGCGATAAACCCTGGCCCCTTCTCATTTCCAACTTCTTCACACAAAAAATGTCACCAACTACAAAAATTTTCTCTCTCCTGAAACCCTCAATATTCCTCCGTTCCCAACACTCCCTTCTCTCTCCATTTCACATCCCCAATCTCTCTCCTTCCCCTTTGCTCCGGTTCCACCGCTACAGTTCTTCTTCCGCTTCTGTACTTCATACTGATACTACTAATACTACTCTCACCACCGGTACCACAGAAGATATTTTTATTCACCACCCCTGGCCTGAATGGGTTCGTTTTGTTGATCGCTTGAGTAGCAAAGGCTACCTTAAAGAGAGTTCTTTGGCTCCGGCGGTGACGGTGGCCGATGATGGCGGTGACATTAGAGAAACCCGTGGCGGTATTGACGGTGATGGAGTTGAGTATAAGGATATAAACTTGTTGAAGGACGGTTGTCTTAGTTTCGCCCGTGACCGGTTCGACATTTTCAAGTAAGGAGTTTGTGTGTCCTGTTTGGTTGCTGAGAAAAAGTGGGAATAAAATGATGGAACATGATAATTCATTGAGTTTTATATATTGATTCCTGTTTGAATTTCGGAATCTGCTATGTTTAACGCAATAACGAAGAAAATATGAGCATTAGGGGTTAGGTGTGTAGTTTTTTTTTGTTTTGTGGTTTTTTTGGGGGGGGGGGGGGTCTTTTTTTTTTTTTTTTGGATTTCCGAATAATTCATTGGTAATAAAACCTTAAAATTAATAAGCCAACCGTGTGGGTACTCTTTCACAATGCATGTTTAAGTAGCTTTTGGATTTTCCTTGCATGAGTTTTATGCTTTATTTTTGAATGTGAATTTCCTTATTTTCAACTGAGGAGTTGGAGCTATATAATCGGTGGGGTTGCTGAGGAAAATGAACACTTTTAGTCTCATGGTACTTACATGCCCAAGGAAGAGTCAATTGACTAGATCAAATGTGTCATTAGACTGAGCTGACTACGGGTATTTTGTTTGTGTTTCGAACTAAAAGGACTTATTTGTTTTGTAATGCAGATCATTGTCTAAGGAAGATATTCAGAGAGTTGTAGAAAAGGGATGTCCCAATCTCTTCCGGAAAGCTGTTAATTCGGCGAAGAGGTTGAGGGCATACTTACATCTCGATGAAGGAGATGTAAGGTTTTTCATTTTTTTTATAGTGATGGAAATAAATAGATATGCACTGTGAGATAAAGTTAGTATGTAGTTTAGTATGGTTTCTTTTTTGGGGTCTGAGTAAAGTACTTAAGTGCAGGTATGTAGTGCTTGCAATCTGCGAGGATCATGTGATAGAGCCTACGTAATACTAAAGGAAACTGAAGCATCTGCTCGCACAGTGGATATTGTTCGTATCCTGTTGCTCTATGCGCTAGATCCACTTGTCATTTCGGGAGCAGAGAAACCTTCTAGTAGAGGGGCTATTGAAGCATCCGCAAGAAAATTGATCCTTGAGTTGATTGAACTGAGCGAGACTTCCCCTGACCCAGAACTCCCAAAGCCTGCTGTGAAAGCTAGTCAAATAAAAGAAAAATCTTTGGATTCACTGGTAGACGATTTCTCAAGAGATGCTGAAATGAAGAGAGGAGACTGGATGTGTCTTAAGTAAGTTTCTTTGGAAGGTTTGATCAAATCCTTAGTTTTTGTATTCTGACTAAAAAGATTATCTGTGGCTCTAACTTATTTGAGAAAATACTTTATTTAATTTATTTGCATAATTTAAGGCCATGAAAGCCCAAATAAAGAAAGGAAAACTTGAACAACTTGAAACCGATATTAAGAAAGAATACTTACAAATGAAAATTTATTTGTGTGGGTCGAAGGATGTGCACAATTTATACAAAGAAGTGCATTTCCCAGATTGCTATTTGGGAATTGATGATACATACATAAGATGGGTCAAAATGCATGTAGG